GCTCTAGATGCATCATTGGTGTGCTCTCTGGCTGCAGGATGAACTACACCTCCCACCATGGTGGGTCAGTCCCATCAAATCCCTCCAGTAGGTTCAGTTGGGTTCTGTGTGCCAAGTTAAGTCCAGGTCCATCATCGGTGGGGTGCAGAATGCTCTTTGATTGCAGGTGAACTATAAATCCCAGTACCTACAACTAACAAATGCCTAAACCCATTCCCCCCAAAACCCACCAGTATTCAAATTTGGGCATATAGGGGATGCGTGCCAAATTTGGTGCAGGTCCATCATTGTTTGCGTTCACAGTGCTCTTCTGGATATAGGTGAACTATAATTCCCGTAAATCAAGATGATTTTTCCCCCAAAGCCCTCCTTTGTTTTTTTGCTTTTTTGTCATGGAGGTTCTGTCTGCTACGTGAGGTCCAGGGCCATCATTGGTGGGGTCCAGAGTGCTCTCTCATTGTGGGTGAACTATAAATCCCAGTACCTACAATGGCTATAAATCAATGTGAATTCCCCCCAAACTTCTCCAGTATTTTTCTTTGGTCATGGGGGTTCTGTGTGCCAAATCTGGTCCAGTTTCAGTGTCAGTGGGGGTCACAGTGCTCTGTCTTGATTCAGGGTGAACTACAACTTCCATCATGTGGCATCAATCCCAGTATGTTTAGTTGCTGATTAGTTCTGCTCTGATAGAGTTGAAAAAAGTAGGAAAGGGTTAAGGGAGAGGGATTGGGTGTGGTCATGCTAATTCTATACCAGTGAAGAGAGTCAGAAACACTGGGATGCCTGTGGTGGAGGAAAGACATGCAGAACTTGTGGATACAGTATCCGTGGGCCATCCTGGCTGTGGGTTTTTGAGAGTTGTTGATCCAAAAGTAATCTTATGCAGCTCTCACTCATCACCTTTGTTATCACTCATGGGCTTCCCGCCCAGCTGTTACTCCAGTGTAAGAAGGATTAAAGGTGGATCACACGTGTCATGCAGATCACAGAAGAGCACTCAGACAGCCAGGCACTTCCAAATCCACGAGTGGCTTCCTGCCTTGCTTCTCGGTTGCCTCAACGCATTGTGCAAACTTCCAGAAAGGCGGTCTTGAATGGTGTACACATGTTGCCTTCAGGCTCTGGAACCTCACGCTCTCTCTTCATTCCTAGAGCTGAGCCACCTTTCCCCAAGTCCAAGCTGTCTGTACAAAACTGCTCACATTTTCGAGACGTGGTAGTCCTTTCTGATCAGAAGTCTTCTAATGGACAGTCATCATGGTGTAGTGGTGATTCGTAACGCTTTTGGTACTAATTTTGGAGAGTGGACCGTGGGCAAAGTGCTCCCTTGTTCAAGTGGTCTCTGGTCAAAGTGGTCTCTGGTCAAGGTGCTCCCTGGTCAAGTGCCCCCTTGTCACAGTGGTCCGTAGTTAAGTGGTCCTGGGCAAAGTAGCCGCTGGTCAGAGTGGTCCCTGGTGAAGTGGTCCCCTGCAAAGTGGTCTCTGGTCAAAGTGGTCCTTGGTGAAGTGATCCCTGGTCAAGTGGCCCCTGGTCAAAGTGGTATCTGGTCAGAGTGGTCCCTGGTCAGAGTGGTTCCAGGTCAAATGGTTTCTGGTCAAAGTGGTCCATAGTTAAGTGGTTCCTGGTCAGAGTGGTCCCTTGTTATAGTGGTCCCTGGCCAAAGTAGTCCCTTGTTATAGTGGTCCCTGGTCAAAGTGGTCCCTTGTTATAGGGGTCCCTGGTCAACTTGGTCCCTGGTCAAAGTGGTCCCCGGTCAAGTTGTCCCCAGTCAAGTGGTCCCTGGTCAGAGTGGTCCCTGGTCAAAGTGGTCCCTGGTCGGAGTGGTCCCTGGTCAAAGTGGTCCCCGGTCAAGTGGCCCCAGTCAAGTGGTCCCTGGTCAAAGTGGTCCCTGGTCAAGTGCTTCCTGGTCACAATGGTCCCTGGTCAAGTGGTCCCTGGTCAGAGTAGTCCCTGGTCAGAGTAGTCCCTAGTCAAGTGGCCCCTGGTCAGAGTAGTCCCTGGTCAAGTGGTCCCTGGTCAAGTGGCCCCTGGTCAGAGTGGCCCCTGGTCAGTAGTCCCTGGTCAAGTGGTCCCTGGTCAAGAGTGGTCCCTGGTCAAAGTGGTCCCTGGACAAAGTGGTCTCTGGTAAGTGGTTCTTGGTCAAAAAAAAGTTTGGGAACCCCTGCTCTAGAGACCTTCTTGGTCATGACAACCTCCTGGCTGAGCACGCTCCCTCAACCTCTTTGAGAACTCCTTTTGCCAAGGAGACCTGCCCCTTGAGAGGTTCATCTTAGGGTTGCCATAGCTTGGAAATGGCTTGAAGGCACATAGCAACAGGTTCCTTGCCGTCAAGGGGATTCAATTTCTCTCCATTTTTAAAGGAGGAAGGGGGTAATGTTGTTTTGTTCTATTGCATAGTTTAACAGTGACTTCTCCTGTTTGCTTTGTAACCTGCCTGGAATTCGAGGAATGAGGCAGTGTGCTGACATTTTTCAGTAAACGCCGTGTAGGAAAGGGTTGGGGTTTGTGGCAGCGGCGGTGGTGGCGGCGGCGGCCGTTTGGTGCGAGGAGCCTTCCCCGCTGTTTGTGCCACCGAGCCTCCCGAGTCGCCAAGCCTCCATAACAATCATCATCATTAATCATTCATCATCATCCTTTGTCCTCCCTGATCACCTTTCATCTGTGTTCCCGAGCGCTTGGCAGGCCCTGAATAATTAAAGAGAAGGGGGAAAGTGTCTTTCAGGGCAGGCACCTCTTGGGGTAGAGATGGGGCAAGTGTGGGGTGACAGGATGGGGACACACTCAGCCTTTTCCATGGAGGCGGTGCTCTGATGCCAACACATTCTTCAGTCTGTACCTATCTTCTCCAGCTTGGGAAAAGTTTCTCCTATGAGTTAGACCAATGTTTCTCAACCTGGGGGTCGGGACCCTGGGGGGGGGGGGTCATGAGGGATTGTCACAGGGGTCACCAAAGACTATCAGAAAACACAGTATTTTTATTTATTCTGTTGGTCACAGTGGATCTTTGTGGGAAGTTTTGCCCAATTCTATTGTTGGTAATGTTCAGAATGTTCTTTGATTGTAGGGGAACTATAAATTCCAGCAACTACAACTCCCAAATGTCAAGGTCTATCTTCCCCAAACTTCACCAGCGTTCACATTTGGGCATATTGAGTTTTCATGCCAAGTTTGGTCCAGATCCATCATTGTTTGAGTCCACAGTGCTCTCTGGATGCAGGTGAACTACAACTCTCAAACTCAAGGTCAATACCCACTAAATCCTTCCAGTATTTTCTCTTGGTCATGGGAGTTCTGTGTGCTGAGTTTGGGTCAATTCCACAATTGGTGGAGTTCAAAATGCTCTTTGATTGTAGGTGAACTATAAATCCCAGCAACGACAACTCCTAAATGGCAAGGTCTATCTTCTCCAAACTCCACCAGTGTTCACATTTGGGCATATTGAGTATTTGTGCCAAGTTTGGTCCAGATCCATCATTGTTTGAGTCCACAGTGTTCTCTGGATGTAGGTGAACTGCAACTCCCAAAGTCAAGGTCACTGCCCTCCAAACCCTTTCTGTATTTTTCTCTTGGTCGTGGGAGTTCTATGTGCCAAGTTTGGTTCAATTCCATCATTGGTGGAGTTCAGTATGCTCTTTGATTTTAAGTGAACTATAAATCCCAGCAACTACAACTCCTAAATGTCAATGTCTATTTTCCACAAACGCCACTAGTGATCACATTTGGGCATATTGGGTATTTGTGTCAAGTTTGGTCCAGATCCATCATTGTTTGAGTCCACAGTGTTCTCTGGATGTAGGTGAACTGCAACTCCCAAAGTCAAGGTCACTGCCCTCCAAACCCTTTCTGTATTTTTCTCTTGGTCGTGGGAGTTCTGTGTGCCAAGTTTGGTTCAATTCCATCATTGGTGGAGTTCAGAATGCTCTTTGATTGTAAGTGAACTATAAATCCCAGCAACTACAACTCCCAAATGTCAAGGTCTATCTTCCCCAAACTCCATATTTGGGCATATTGAGTATTTGTACCAAGTTTGGTCCAGATCCATCATTGTTCAAGTCCACAGTGTTCTCTGGATGTGGGTGAACTACAACTCCCAAACTCAAGGTCAATGCCCACCAAACTCTTCCAGTATTTTCTCTTGGTCATGGGAGTTCTGCGTGCCAAGTTTGTGTCAATTCCACCATTGGTGGAGTTCGGAATGCTCTTTGATTGTAAGTGAACTATAAATCCCAGCAACTACAACTCCCAAATGTCAAGTCTATTTTCCCCAAACTCCACCAGTGTTGACATTTGGGCATATTGAGTATTTTGTGTCAAGTTTGGTCCAGATCCATCATTGTTTGAATCCACAGTGTTCTCTGGATGTGGGTGAACTACAACTCTCAAACTCAAGATCAGTTCCCAGCAAACCCCTCCCAGTATTTTCTGTTGGTCATGAAGCGACCTCCATAAAATGGGGCTGCCAGCCTTTGGCTAAGGTGACTCTGTTCCAAACCAGCAAGGTAGTCTTCCCTTTAGACATCTTGATTGTGAGAATTCTGTGTGCCGAGTTTGGTTCAGTTCCATCATTGGTGGAGTTCAAAATGCTCTTTGATTGTAGGTGAACTATAAATCCCAGCAACTGCAACTCCCAAATGACAAAATCCATTTTTGAGTGAAGGACATACATTGGGTTGTTAGGTGTCTTGTGTCCAAATTTGGTGTCAATTTGTCCAGTGGTTTTTGAGTTCTGTTAATCCCACAAACAAACATTACATTTTTATTTATATAGATGATGATGATGATGATGATTATTATTATTAAAGGTAAAGGTAAAAAGGTTTTCTCCTGGCATGAAATCCAGTCATGTCCGACTCTGGGGTGTTGGTGTTCATCTCCGTTTCTAAGCCGAAGAACTGGAGTTGTCTGTAGACACCTCCAAGGCCATGTGACCAGCATGACTGCACAGAATGCCATTACCTTTCCACCGGAGCAGTATCTATTGATCTACTCACATTTGCATGTTTTCTTTTTTTTTTTTCTTCAATAAGAAAGATCTTTTATTTCCATTTCTTACTGCCTTCTGGAATTCCTGCTGGTAACATTAGGACCACTCTGTGGTAGTCCTGACCCACTCAGTTGCCTGAGCAGTGGGAGCAGCAGACCAGTCTTCAGTGGCAGGCTGTGCACTCCAATCCTCTGCTGGGAATGGTTGTATGGGCACAGAGGGCACTTGCACTCCTTCAGACCAATCAGCCGCCTCCAGTTGTGGCGGTGCGGTAAATTCAGGGGCAGGAGCAGTCCATTCACCCTGGAACTCTTCCTTTGTAACCGCCTTCTCAGCTGTGACCTGCTCTTCCTTCTCAATCTCTTCAGGATACCGGTAGAAGTAGAGATCAGGCATCACCTCCCAGGGATGCTCACGGGAAATAGTGCCACGCATACGCAGGACTTCACAAGCCAACATCCACCACATAAGGTTTTTGAACTGCTAGGTTGGCAGAAACTTGGGCTAACAGTGGGAGCTCACCCCACTCCCTGGATTTGAACCGCCAACTCTTGGGTCAGTAAGTTCAGCAACTCAGCGGTTTAACCTACTGCGCCACTGGGGACTCCAGTACAATACAGTACATTTCTAAGCTGAAGAGTCGGCATTGTCCATAGACACCTCCAAGTCATGTGGCCGGCATGCCTGCATGGAGTGCCCTTACCTTCCCGTCGGAACGGTACCTATTGATCTACTCACATTTGCATTATTCAATTTGCATTATTAAAACGATGCATGAAAATACACCGAAGGTGAAGGCTTTGCATTCCTGGCCCCAAAGGAATCCTCTCGAGCTCTTTGGCAGCTCTCCTCCCCGGGAAGTTGGCCGGGTTTTGGTTGGAGACGCGAGTCCTGCCCTGAAAGGAACCACCCCGCCAAGTACAGGATGTTTGAGGGGGAAAATAATAACCCCCAACCGGCACAAAATACCTATTTAATCAGGTAAATAATCTGTCCGTTTGTTTTAAAGAGGGCGGCTTAGGTGTATTTACCCAACACACCTAGGAACCCTCCCTCACATTCTTTCCTCCTTTCTTTGCTTTCTTTGAATGTCACATGCAAGAAGAACTTTCTTTTCCCTCTCCGGGTACATGGGGGAATCGGTAGGATACGGGCACGACGGAACGGGGGTCCCTCTTCACGCCTGGGGAGTCCAAGCGGGATGTGGAAGGAACGCTAATGGCTTCCCATAAAAATTCAACGAAGAAGCACAGCTCCACCGCTCTGCCCCGGGTCTGCTTTCCGTGGCGCAGTTGAAAAGGCGGGGAAGGGGCCCCAATTCCCCGGCGTGGGCAAAGTTCAGCCTCTCCTCCTCTGCGCAGCCCACTCTGCCACTCACCGTAAATCCCCAAAGCCCCCGGTCCCCTCCCCACCAATTCCTGCCTTGTCCGTCTCATTGTGGGCTGTCAAAGGCAGGCGCGTCATTTGTCCCTCTCTTTTGGATTCTAAACTGCCCACGTTCCACTTTGGAGCCTTAAATCCACAATGTGGGATGTTTTCCAAGTGCTCATGCTTAGAGACACTTCCATCAGTCCGAGGCGATGTTGCCGACCTACAGCAACAACCTCCGAAGCAAATTCTCAGAAGTTTGGCTTCTACTAGGGACAACAACTGTCCATAAACAGCGATTCAGAAAATTGCATTAGATAGACCACATCAGCTGTCTTGTCCATGTATAATGGTGAAGCAAAGTGTAGTCCGTAAATGCACAAGAGCAGTGATGGCATGATCGTCAGCATAGGTGAAACTCTCTGTCCCTTCTGGCAGTGGCTGATCATTCGTCTAAACATTAAACATTGACTGTGTAAGCTGGTTTTCCCTGAAATAGGCAGTAAGAGCACCTAAAGCTTTGGAGAGTTTCTGTTCAACTATCACAGAGCACCCTGCTTGAGCAGTGATGGCATGATTGTCAGCATAGATGAAACTCTCTGTCCCTTCTGACAGTGGCTGATCATTTGTATAAATGTTAAACATTGATGGAGCAAGCTGGTTTTCCCTGAAATAGGTAGTAAGAGCACCTAAAGCTTTGGAGAGTTTCTGTTCAACGATCACAGAGCTCTCTGCTTGGGCATTGATGGCACAATCGTCAGCATAGGTGAAACTCTCTGTCCCTTCTGGCAGTGGCTGATCATTCGTCTAAACATTAAACGTTGACTGTGTAAGCTGGTTTTCCCTGTAATAGGCAGTAAGAGCACCTAAAGCTTCGGAGAGCTTCAGTTCAACTATCACAAAGCTCCCTGCTTGAGCAGTGATGGCGTGATCATCAGCATAGATGTATAATGGTGAAGCAAAGTGTGATCCGTAAAAGCACATGAGCAGTGGTGGCATGATCATCAGCATAGATGAAAATCCCAATGTGCTTATGGGAAGAGGAAGTGGTAAGAGTGGGAGCGGACATCCGTGTGGAATGTCAACAATGGCAAGAGAGGCACCGGTTCCATGTCATCTTGGAGACAACGTGTTGACTTTGGGCCCAGAAATGGGGAAAAGGACACAAGAGAGATCCCTTTTTGGGTGAAAATAATGCGCTTTGCGACCAAAAAAAGGAAACTCTTTCCCCAAAAAGGGAGGAGGAGGAGTGCACGACGTGGCTTCCTTCCGAGTTCATTTTTCCACCTCTCTGTTGAATGATCCCTTCATCAACAGCGTCTTGAAAGCTGCCTGGCTTTCTGTTTGCTGGCTTGGCCTGCGTGCCAAGGCTTAAGTCTTCTGCTATTTACCGTGATGCCAATCCAGAGCCAGGCTTGTTAGGAGGTGCCATTTGAATGGGAGGCCCCGATCCAGAGCTCTTTCAAAACATTGGCCACTCTTGTAAAAGGCAGGGGAGAGTGGCCCCATGTCTGGAAATATCCGGTGATAGTTGTCTATTATTAATAATAATATATTATTATATTAGAGAGGGAGCCCCTTGTGATGCAGTGGGTTAAACTGCTGAGCTGCTGAACTTGCTGACCAGAATGTTGGCGGTTCGAATCTGGGAAGCGAAGTGAGCTTCTGCTGTTAGTCCCAGCTCCTGCCAACCTAGCAGTTCGAAAACATTCAAATGTGAGTAGATCAATAGGTACCACTTCTGCAGGAAGGTAATGGTGCTCGATGCAGACATGCCAGTGACCACATGACCTTGGAGGCATTTAAGAGCAATGTTAGGGTAGTAGAAAATATTATATTATTATTATTATTATTATTATTATTATTATTATTATTATTATATTAGGACAGTGTTAGGCTAGGAAGAGTAGAAAATATATTATTATTATCATTATTATCATTAGGCCATTATTATTTTTATTATTATTATAATTATATTAGGGCATTATTAATATATTAGGACAATGTTAGGGTAGGAAGAGTAGAAAATATATTATTGTTGTTGTTGTTGTTGTTGTGTACTTTCAAGTCATTTAAGACTTAGGTTGACCCTGAGCGAGGGCCGGATAAATTACCTTGGAGGGCCGCATCCGGCCCGTGGGCCATAGTTTGAGGACCCCTGATCTAGATGATAATAATAATAATAATATAATTATTATAATTATATATTATTTATTATTTAGCGTGTCAGGAGCGAACCAGAACAGTTGTATTGCATTAATAAAGCAGACAAACAAACGAAACACAAAATTTGCAGACTTGGTATTCTATTAAATGTCCTTTGACCAGTAGCTGGCCACTTGGAGTGCTTCTGGTGTTGCTGCAAGAAGGTCCTCCATGGTGCATGTGGCAGGGCTCAGGTTGCATTGCAGCAGGTGGTCAGTGGTTTGCTCTTCTCCACACTCGCATGTCGAGGATTCCACTTGGTGGCCCCATTTCTTGAGGTTGGCTCTGCATCTCGTGGTGCCAGAGCGCAGTCTGTTCAGCGCCTTCCAAGTCACCCAGTCTTCTGTGTGCCCAGGAGGGAGTCTCTCATTTGGTATCAGCCATTGATTGAGGCTCTGGGTTTGAGCCTGCCACTTTTGGACTCTCGCTTGCTGAGGTGTTCCAGCAAGTGTCTCTGTAGATCTTAGAAAACTATTTCTTGATTTAAGTCGTTGGTGTGCTAGCTGATATCCAAACAGAGGATGGGCCAGAGATGTCATTATAATATTAGTAGTAGTATAATTATTATTAATATTAATAATAGTAGTAGTACTACTACTAATAGCTATTGAACCAAAAGGAAGTCCCAGCCTTTTCTACTCTTCCTAACCAAATACTGCCCTGTCTCTAATCTATTATTATTATTATTATTATTATTATTATTATTATTATTATTACACAACAAGATGAGTCCACAGCAGACACTCTGCTGGCTGTTGAATTGGATCCCATGTCGGACACTTCCCAAGTGTCTAGGACTGTGTGATGTATCGGCAAATAATGCGTGCAGATCCCAGTAAGGTGGCCTTCTGCAGCTGACAGTAATTTTGTCAGCGCTGATTGTGTTTAAGTGCAGGCCAAGGTCTTTAGGCACTGCACCCAGTGTGCCGATCACCACTGGGACCACCTTGACTGGCTTGTGCCAGAGTCTTTGCAGTTCAATCTTTAAATCCTCATATCGTGTCAGCTTTTCCAGTTGTTTCTTTGCAATCCTGCTGTCACCTGGGATTGCGACATCTACAATCCATACTTTGTTTTTTAACACGATTGTGAGGTCAGGAGTATTATGCTCCAAAACTCTGTCTGTCTGAATCCAGAAGTCCCAGAGGAGTTTGGCATGTTCGTTCTCTGTAACTCTTTCCGGCTTGTGATCCCATCAGTTATTTGTCGCAGGCAGATGGTATTTGTGGCAAAAGTTCCAATGAACAAGCTGAGCAAGGGTGTTGTGCCTCTGCTTGTAGTCCATCTCCCGATCTTCTTGCAGCAGCTGAGGATGTGATCTATTGTTTCATCTGCTTCTTTGCAGAGTCTACATTTGGGATCTGTTGTCGACTTTTCAATTCTGGTTTGATGGCATTGATTATGATTATTATGATTATTAGAGACAGGGCAGTGTTGATGGCATTGGTTCTAGTTATTATTATTATTATTATTATTATTATTATTATTATTAGAGACGGGGCAGTGTTGATGGCATTTGTTCTTCTACTTATTATTATTATTATTATTATTATTATTATTATTATTATTAGAGACAGGACAGTGTTGATGGCATTGGTTCTAATTATTATTAATTACTAGCCGTCCCCTGCCACACGTTGCTGTGGCTCAGTCTGGTGATCTGAAAAATAAAGTAATTGTTTCTAATCTATGTAATGTCTTTCTGCTTGTGGGTAAACAGTATTTCTTGCTGTTTCTTTGTCAGTGTTGATGTGGAGAGTGTCTGGTTTGCCTACTCTGGAACATGCAACATATCATTGTCCTTCTTCAGGGGTCCCTTTCAAATCTATGATACTATATCTGTGTGTGTGTGAATCATATATATCTATGGCTGGATGGCTCTCTGTCAGGAGGGCTTTCATGCCCTGGTGAAGGGAGTTGGGCTGGATGGCCTTAAGCACTTTCTGTTGGTCATGGGAGTTCTGTGTGGGAAGTCTGCCCAATTCTGTCATTGGTGGGGTTCAGCATTCTCTTTGATTGTAAGTGAACTATAAATCCCAGTAACTCCCAAATGTCAGGGTCTATTTCCCCCAAACTCCATCTGTGTTCATATTTGAGCATATGGAATATTTGTGCCAAGTTGGGTCCAGATCCATCATTGTTTGAGTCCAAAGTGCTCTCTGGATGTAGGTGAACTACAACTCTCAAACTCAAGGTCAATGCCCACCAAAACCTTCTAGTGTTTTCTGTTGGTGTTGGAAGTCCTGTGTGCCAAGTTTGGTTCAATTCCATCATTAGTGGAGTTCAGAATGCTCTTTGATTGTAGGTGAACTATAAATCTGAGCAACTACAACTCCCAAATGACAAAATCATAATTTTTTGAGTGATGGCCACTCCTTGTGTTGTGAGATGTTTTGTTGCCAAATTTGGTGTGATTTTGTTCATTGGTTCTTTTGTTTTTAAGGTACTCATTATGCACAGAGCATTTTTATATAGAGAGAGATATATATAGATATAGTTTTGTGCATGTATTACATTTTTATTTATATAGATCAGGGATCCACAAACTGTTTAAACAGAGGGCCAGGTCACAGTCCCTCAAACTGTTGAAGGGCCGGATTATAATTTGAAAAAGTATGAATGAATTCCTATGCACACTGCACATATCTTATTTGTAGTGCAAAAAACCACTTAAAAACAATACAGTAATTAAAATGAAGAACAATTTTAACAAATATAAACTTATTGGTATTTCAATAGGAAGTGTGGGCCTGCTTTTGGCTGATGAGATAGGATTGTTGTTGTCGTTGTTGTGTGCTTTCAAGTCATTTCAGACTTAGGTTGACCCTGAGCGAGAAGCCTCCCACAAGGATGGTAGAAGATCAAAACATCCTGGCGTCCCCTGGGCAACGTCCTTGCAGACGGCCAATTCTCACACATCAGAAACAACTTGCAGTTTCTCAAGTGGCTCCTGACACAACAAAATAATAATAATATTAGAGACAGGACAGTGTTGATGGCATTCGTTCTTCTTCTTCGTATTATTACTATTATTATTAGAGACACAGCAGTGTTGATGGCATTGGTTCTAATAATAATAATAATTATTATTATTCTTATTAATAATAATAATAATCATTAGAGACAGGGCAGTGTTGATGGCATTGGTTCTAATTATTATTAATAATAATAATAATTATTATTATTAGAGACACGGCAGTGTTGATGGCATTGGTTCTAATTATTATTAATAATAATAATAATAATAATTAGAGACAGGGCAGTGTTGATGACATTGATTCTAATTATTATTATTATTATTAATAATAATAATAATAATAATTAGAGACATGGCAGTGTTGATGGCATTGGTTCTAATTAATAATAATAATAATTATTATTATTATTATTAGAGACACGGCAGTGTTGATGGCATTGGTTCTAATTATTATTAATAATAATAATAATAATAATTAGAGACATGGCAGTGTTGATGGCATTGATTCTAATTATTATTATTCATAATAATAATAATAATTATTATTATTAGAGACATGGCAGTGTTGATGGCATTGGTTCTAATTAATAATTATTATTATTATTAATATTATTATTATTAGAGACATGGCAGTGTTGATGGCATTGGTTCTAATTAATAATTATTATTATTAATAATATTATTATTATTAGAGACATGGCAGTGTTGATGGCATTGGTTCTAATTTATTATTATTATTATTATTATTATTATTATTATTATTATTAGAGACAAGGCAGTGTTGAGTTAAGAAGAGTAGAAAAGGCTGGGACTTCCTTTTGGCTCAATTGCTATTATTATTATTATTAATAATAGTATTATTATTATTATTATTCTAATATTAGGGTCCAGAGTGCCTTCCTTTCCCTTTGGCTGCTCAGAAGCAAGCAAGCAAGCAAGCAAGCCAGGCTGGCCCTTGTTTGCAATCAGGAGCCGGAGGGGGCGTGTCCGTGGGCGGAGGGGGCGTGCCCCAAGCCCGGCCTCCTATCCAATGGCTCCCCGTCCGCCGGCTCGGCCCCGCCCCCTCCGCCTTGGCCCCGCCCCCTGAGTGCTGCTGCTGCTGCTCCTGCTGCTGCCTCTCGCCTTGCCCTGGCAGGAGCTGCCTCCCGTTCAGCATGCCTGCCGCTCTTTGAAGCCCTCCTGGAAGAAGCCCTGCCTGCCTGCCTTCACCCAGGAGGAGCATGAAAGTTGACTACTTCAGCCAAGTCGCCTTCCGCCTCTCCGACTATGGTGAGTGAGTCCAGCCCAGCACAGAGGAGGGGACAGAGGAGGGCAAGGGGTTCCCCTGGAGTTGCTTGGAGTTGCCTCTCTCTGCCTGCCTGCCTGCCTCTCTCCCTCTGAGGCTTCTCTCTTCCTTCCCTCCCTCCCTCTGCCTCTCTCTTTCCCTTCTTTGAGACAGCTGCAGCAGCACAAGGCTTCAGTCCCAACTCATTCATAACTCATTTACATAATATAATTTATTATCCACTTTATATACATCTTTATTATTTACTTTTATTTGTAGGCTACATCATTATTAGTACAGGATCTGTTTTATTATTTAGATATAAAATATTTATTGACTTTATATCAACTTTATAGAAATCATTATTATTTACTTTTATTTGTAGGATACATCATTATCAATACAGGATCTGTTTTAGATATGAAATATTTATTGATTATTAACTTTATCAATATTATGAAACTTGGATATATTATTTATTAATAAATAAATATAAGTAAAAAGTAATCATAAGCTATATCAGCAAAGTAAATAAGAATAAATAGAATCACAGAAGTATTTATTGATTATTAATTTGTAATATAATACAGGATCTGTTTTATCATTTAGATATGAAATATTTATTGATTATTAACTTTAACGATATTATCATACTTGGATATATTCTTTATTAATAAACAATGAATATAAATAAAAAGTAATCATAAGCTATATCAGCAAACTAAAAAAGAATAAACAGAATCATAGAAATATTTATTGATTATTAATTTGTAATATAATATATTATTATATTATATTATATTATTAACTTGTAATGTAATATAATTGACTGGTTGCCCTGACACGACAAATAAAATAAGTAATAATAAGTAATAATAATAGAATCATAGAAATATTTATTGATTATTAATTTGTAATATAATATATTATATTATTATATTATATTGTATTATTAACTTGTAATGTAATATAATTGACTGGTTGCCCTGACATGACAAATAAAATAAGTAATAATAAGTAATAATAATAGAATTGGGCCCTCCAGTCCAACCCCCTGCCAAAAAGAAGGAAAGTTGCATTCAAAAATATAATATCTCTATAATTTATTATTATTTACTTTATGAGATTTTTTATTTATTATATTTTTATCTCATTATTTGTATGAAATATTTATTATTAACTTTATTGATGTTATGAAACATGGATATATTATTTATTAATAAACAATAAATATTATTATTATTATTATTATTATTAATAATAATAATAATAATAATAATAATAATAGAGTTGGGCCATCCAGTCCAACCACCTGCCAAAAAGAAGGAAAGTTGCATTCAAAAATATAATATCTATCTCTATTATTTATTATTATTTACTTTAGAAGATATATTTTATGTATTTATTTATTATCATATTTTTATTTTATTATTTGTTTGAAATATTTATGTATTATTTATTTATTTATTTATTATTAACTTTATCGATATCACAAATCATGAATATATTATTTATTAATAAATATAAATAAAAGTAATAAGATATATAAACAAAGTATATATATATATTATTTTATTTATAAGATTTTTTATTTATTATTATCATATTTTAATTTTTATTATTCATATGTAATATTTATTAATTATTAAATTTATCGATATTATGAATTATTGATATATTATTTATTAATAAACAATACATATGAATAAAAGTAATAATAAGATATATAAACAAAGTCAATAATAAATATGATATATTTATTAAATAAATATGATATATTTATTTAATTAAATAAATATGATATATTTATTATTTATTATTATTTTCTTTATTTATGGATATATTTTATTATTAATTTTTATTATATTTTTATTTTGTTATTTATATGAAATATTTTATTAACTTTATCAATATTACAATAAATATATTATTTATTTATTAATAAACAATAAATAGAAAGGTAATAAGATATATAAACAAAGTAAATGATAAATATATGCTATAAAAAAGTAAATAGTGATGAATAATAAAGGCATTAGGTGACAGTATGATATATCAATAACATAAATGATAATAAATATATTATATAAATAAAGTTAACAATAAGTTATATCCATAAGGTTAATAATAAAAAATGTATCATATAAATAAATAGTAATAAATAATAAATATTTTATATAAAGGCAACAATAAGATATATAAATAAAGTATATAATAATAAAGATATTATATACATAGATAACAATAAGTTATATAAATAAACTTATTGTTATCTTTATATAATATAGTTTTATTATTTATTCATATAATATATTTATTATTATTAACTTTATATATATAATTTATTACTAACGTTTATATACTTTATTATTATTATTTATTAACTTCATATGATCTTATTAGATATAATTTATTATTAACTATGTAATTTATTATTATTTATTAACTTATATATAATTTATTATTATGAACTCTATATATAATAACTTTATATAATATCTTATGTATAATTTATTATTCACCTTATGTAATTATTATTTATTATTAGCTTTACATGACATCTTATTCTATGTGGTTTATTATTATTATTACTATTTAATTTATTATTATTAACTATATAATATCTTATATATAATTTATTATTTGCTTTATGTAATTATTTCATATTAACTTTCAATGACATCTCATTCTATGTGGTTTATTATTATTGACTATTAAATTTATTATTATTAACTTTATATAACTTATTATTATCTAATGTATTTATATAACTTATTTATTTTATTAACTTTACATGGCATCTTATTCTATGTGGTTTATTATTATTATTGACTATTTAATTTATTATTATTATTAACTTTATATAATGTATTATTATTGTTTAATTTATGTATATAACTTATTATTATTTACTTTATTTATATTATATATTTTATTATATATACATGCATGCACATACTTTATTTCTATCCCACTTTTCTCTCCATGGGAACTCAAGGCAGGTAACAACAACAACAACAAAACTAATAATAATAATCCTTTATTTATAACCCAAGGGGACTCAGGGCAGCTTCCAGCAAACAATCCCACAATCTAATAACAAATACAATTTAATACAATCTGGTCCCATCCGATGCTTGCCTTCATCACTTTCCCAAGGTTTGAAAGGAGAGGAAGGCATCTCTCTCGTCTGAGAAGGGGACTGACAGGTACATGGCCTGCCTGTTTCACTTTTCGTTTCTCCACTTTACGGAAGTCGCTCCTTCCTCCTTTTTGTGTGTATGTTACATACATGAAAGACGCCTTCCTTTTTCCACCTCCCAGATGTCAAAAGTATGGCAACTTCTCAGGCCTCGAAATGTGGCCGAAAGAGAGAGAAGTTTTGCTGTGCCCTCCGCTCTTGTTTTTTTGCCGTTCCTTTCTTCCGTCTCTCCGGGTTTCGATATTATTATTGTGCTTGTTTCCCTCCTCTCTCTCTCTTTCTTTCTCTCTCCCTTTTAATTATTCTCCCTTCTTTCGGCTGCTTCCCCGGATCCGCAAAGGTTGCCTGTCAGGTTCCCGGCCGGTCTTGTCTCCAGGAAAAGGAATTTTAATTTATTTGGGACGAGCCGGTGACGGATGGGGAGGCTGCTTATTACATTTAATGAGCCTTGCGTGTTGCCAGCCTTTCTCTATACGGGTTATCCCATCTGTTTCCAGCTCCTTCTCCTCAAATTATGAGACAGAGAGGGGATATCCCCAGCGCAGAGTCCGGTTTGATGGTATTTCGAGGCCTGTGTTGTTTTCGTTGTTGTTGTTGTTGTCTTCATGCTCTTTGGAGGTTTCTTGGAAACTCCACATATCATAGAATCAAGTACGGGACGGAAATTGGGTTTGAACTGTGTAACACCACATTGTGTCCATCGCCATCTCTGGATTCAAGGGTCCTATGAAGGCCTTAGGGTGGCCTTCATAGGACCCTTGAGTCCTATGAAGGACTTAATGAGTCCTTCACCAGGGATGGTGAATTCTTGGATATAGAGAGCCAACTGTATGTATACACACACACACACACACATTGGTTGTTGCTCTTTAGATTTTTCGCAATGTTCTATTGAACAACAACTCCCATCCCGTTTGGAAGCTTCTTGGAAACTCCACATATTTCTGGGCTCGTCATAGAATCAAGTACAGGACAGAAATTGGGTTTGCACTGTGTAACACCAAATTGTGTCCAWTGCCATCCCTGGATTCAAGGGTCCTATGAAGGCCTTAGGGTGGCCTTCATAGGACCCTTGAGTCCAGGGAAGAYGAATTCTTGGATATAGAGAGCCAACTGTATTTATATATATATAGATATATATACACATACATACATACATACATACATACATACACATACACACACCTATATATACACATACACATACATACCTTGGTTKTTGGTCTTTAGACTTTTCACAATGTTYCATTGAACGACAACTCCCATCCCGTTTGGAAGCTTCTTGGAAACTTCAGATATTTCTGGGCTCGTCATAGAATCAAGTACAGGATGGAAATCAGGTTTGCCCCGTGTAACCCCAAATTGTACCCCTTCTTATATCCCCTTCTCAGAGTCTGGTTTGATGGTATTTCGAGGCCTGTGCTGTTTTCATTGTTGTTGTTGTTGTCTTCAAGCTCTTTGGAGGTTCTTTGGAAACTCCACTTATTTCTGGATTTGTCATAAAATCAAGCACAGGACGGAAACTGGATTTGCACCGTGTAACACCAAATTGTGTCCCTTTCCTCGAGGGCCACCTCAGCTTTAGGGTGGCCTTCATAGGACCCTTGAATCCAGGGATGGCAAATTCTTGGATATAGAGAGCCAACTGTATTTATATATATATTTCTGGGCTCAACATAGAATCAACTACAGGACAGAAATCGTATTTGCGTGGTGTAACACCAAATTGTGCCCCTTCTTATATCTCCATCTCAGAGTCCGATTTGATGGTATATCTTAGGCCTGTGCTGTATTGTCGTTGTC